GGGCTGCGCGCCTCCCAGGCCCTGACGCCCACGGGACTCCAGTGGGGACGGTGCTGCCGCCGGACACGGCATTCCCACCCAGCCATGCCGGGGAGGCTGAGACTTTCGCTGTCAAGCACTGGCAAAAGCCCAGTGCCCACGTTGCCACACAAGGAGTTTTCATGCTTGGCGCATTTTTCTGAAATGCAACATTACACATTTTTTTCTTTAAACAAGAGAGAAAGCCCTTCTTGATCCTGGGAGGTGAATCAAACCATTCACAGGAGATGAGCCGTGAAATGAGCCACCTCCTGCCAGTCACCCCCCCAGGGTGGACCCGGTCCCTGAGAGACACCCGGAGAGAGCCGTCTATTCAGCCCAGGGCTCCCTGCATCACCCTCTCTGTGCCGCCGGTGGCCGCACTCTGGATGCCGGTGATGCCAGAGACAAGTCTCCTGCCGGCCCGGCCAGGGCACCTCGGGAGGACAGATACACACCCAAGAGGCCTGGCCCGGGGTGGCCGGCGTCCGGCGCTGGGGAGAAGGCACAGGGAACATCATGGCCACTAACAATCGGCACGTGTCAGCCGGGAATGCGGGGACACTGAGAGCCGGGAAAGGAGCCCCCCACCTCGACTCTCCTGGGCCTGCGGGGGACACCAACAGCTGTGACTGACAGGCAGAGGGCCCGGCCCACATGTGGTCCCTGGGGCGAGGTTCAGCTGGACCACACAGGGGCTCTTGGGTCCCAGGAAGGGGCGGAGATTTCACAGGGGGCGAAGCAAGTGGGGTGGCCAGACTGGCAACCTCTGGACATTCTACAGGTAGACAGCCAGCATGGGGGAGGGCGGAGGAGAGCCAGGTGGGGGAGGAAAGGTCAGATGCCAGGGCGGGGGGAGGAGGGTCAGGAGTGCCAGGAGGAGGTGGGGGAAGGAGGACCAGGTGGGAGGCGGGAGGCCAGCGGGGAGCAGAGACGCCCTGGAAGGAAGGCGGCCCATACACATTTGTGGCGCCAGCTGGCCCCCCAGGTGGGCCTCCCTGGAAACCGGCCCCTCCTCCTCACCTGTTCCCACGTGGACCACAGATAAGTCCCCTCCCCCCACTTGGGGGAATTTTCCAGCACCTCACTGGGAGAAAAACGAGGAGCAAAACAATAAATGCTGCTGGAGATTATCCTGCAGTTTCACTGACAAGCGTGAAGGGGACGGGACAGCTTGGCTGATGGGGACCTGCCCCTGCCTGGGGCGGGGGAGCGACAGCAGTGACTTGCCCGGTCTGGACCAGCCCAGACCCCGCCGTGGGCCCTCTCCTTCCTGTTCGGCCCCCGGTGGCAGAGTGTCACGGAGCAGCCGCTTGCTCAGGGGCCTGCGTTTCCAGGTGAACGGCGCCCGCAGGAGAGCCCGGATGCCTTCAGCCGACTGGGAGTCCTGGGCTGCACGGTCTGCGCTGGCAGGCTCGTGGGGCCGCCCTGTCTGGGGGAGGCCACAGGAAGGGGACTCCAGCTCACTCCGTCTCCTGTGCTGGCCCTAGACGGAGCCACCTTCAGTCCTGGGATCCAGAAGAGCCCCTCGTCGGCTGGAGCCTGGAATGCCTGTGGGCGTGGTGCCGTCACGGACCAAGACACAGTGGTGTGTGTGCTGCCTGGCCGAGACAGCTCCCATGCTGAGGCCTGTCCAGGGCGTGCATCCGGCGGTTCATTTCAGCAGCCTCTTCAATCCACGGGTCGCCACGACGACTCAGCAGGTGCTGACACTGTTTCCGCTGGAAGGAACGCCCGTGCTCCGAGGACCCCCATGGCCTGTCCACCGCACTGTGTGTGCAGGAACACCTCCGGTCATCTTCCAGCTCCTCACTTGTGATGCCGACACTGCAGCCAACTGGAGAACACAGAGCCCAGCTCAGCCCATCTGGCATTTGCACTGCTCTCAAGGCAGACTTCTGAGAAAAAGGGAAGAAAGAACTGCTCTGCTGGCCTAGAAAGGTTGCTTCCCAATCAACACATTGGCCCGAGATAAAGGCTTGCTTTTAAAGAAATACGGAGGGCAGAGGCTTCCTGCAAGCAGCGACACACACAAAACACCCGCCAGTGGAAGCTGGAGGCTCTTCTGAATTAGAGGGTTCCGGAGTGGCACAGCGGGATGCCAGGGGATTGAGAATGGCATGCAGGGACACTGGCTCCCCAGCCACCAACACAGCCCAGGATGCTTCTGTACAAGTGACAGTATGCCCAGGACGTCTGGCCTAGAGGTCGCCTGCTGAGGCCTGCTGGCGCCAGACACATCCCCACCACTCTGGGAGTAGACACACTTCAGGCAGAGGACCCAGCTCTGGCCTCCTCTGAGTTGGCACGGGCATTCAAGACCCGGCGAAGCCAGGAGCCAGAGACCAGTGACTGGCTCCAAATGCCACGAACAGAGGAAGCCATTCCCAGCCCCGGGCAGATGGTCGGGCGTTTTTGGACAATGGTATGACTGAGGGGGACACACAGAACAAGGAAGGGTCCCATCTTCGCTGGCCCCTCCCATCAGCGTGGGCCAGACGGCGGTGTCCAGCAGCTAACTCTGGAAGACGGGCATCTGCGGGAAGGCTGGCTTGAAGACGGCGGGTGGCACGCGGCTGAGGAGGAACTTGGCTCCTGCCTGGAGAGGACGGTGGTGAACCGCCAGGGTGTTAAAAATCAAAGCTAACAACCGCTCAGGGTGAGCAGACAGGCTAAGCCACATGACAGCCCAAAACCTGGGGTGTTTTTGAAAAAAATGTTTTTGAAAAATGAGCCCTTTAGGGGTGGGGGTCACAGGAAACAGAGCAACGCATTTCAGAACGAGAACAGTCATTTCTTCAAGCTGCTGTTCCCACCACCTCCCTAACTCTTCCCTGCCCAAGGAGAATACCTGAGTCACATGTGAACAGCTCTTTTTTCAACAGCATTTAATATTTTTCTACCAGAAAACAAATGAAGTGTTATTCAAGAAACTCTAGATAAAGCGGGTTTTGTTTCTGGCTTTTATTAACAATATCACCATTTTGTATACAACCACAGTGTGTACTGGCTGTCAACAAAATCAAACTAACTGCAGTCGTAAAATATTTACAAGGCGCCAAGAGCTAGGAATGGATCGGGGTCTTGAGTAATTTAAGTAAGCCACGAGGGCGGAGCGCAGTGGCTCACGTGGGTAGTCCCAGCACCTTGGGAAGCTGGAGTGGGAGGATCACTTAAGCCCAGGAGTTTGAGTTCAGCCTGGGAATAGTGAGATCCTGTTTCTACAAAAAACAATAAAAATAAAAATAAATAGCCAGGTCTGGTGGCGCCCGGAGTCCCGAGGCCGAGGCGGGAGGATCGCTTGAGTTCAGTAGTTTGAGGCTGCAGTGAGCCATGCTCATGCCACTGCACTCCAGCCTGGGCAACAGAGGAAGACCATCAAATAAATAAATGAACCACAGGACAGCTGTGGATGGTAAAGGTCGCCACATTGGTTCAGGAACACACTGGGTGTTGTCTATGCACTGATATGGCAGGGCTTGTTTAGCAACGAACATTTCAGGAGTCGAAGCAGCTATGAACAGCACACCTCACCCTGGAGGTGAGATGGGGCACCTAGGAAATTTGAACCAAGAAAACCTTTTTAGAAATGAGTACACAGTGAAACTGACTTCGGAAAGATGACATCTGCAGCTCTCAGAGGAGGTTTTTGTGTTCCAAGGAAGGGCCTGGGAACTCCCTCAAGCGACGACACTTTACAATCTGGAATATTCTTCACACAGAGAAAATAGAGCCAGACTTTCAAAATCCACGATATGCTTCTGAAAGGCACGTCACTGTGCTGAGTGGCACCGTTGCGCTCTTTCCGTTTTGGCCAAAGGAAAGACTTCGGAGTTCTAGACCGGATCCCTCTTTGCACGGAGGCCGGAAACTGAAATAAATGCTTTTAGACCTCAAACTGCTGTTCCTTTGGGCGTCCCGTCGGTCTTTCTGCAGTCCTCGTGCACAGAGTGCATGGGGCAGGCAGTCAGGGCTCACGCTCAAGGCCTCCTGGAGACAGCGGGGCCGGCTGTCCCTCCGGCAACCCTGCCTTCACACTGTGGAAGCGCTTGGCATCTTGGCTTCCCAAACCGGTGACTCCAATGGCCTTTGCGTGACAGAAATAATACAGTGTCCACCACAGGGACGGACGCAGCCCACTCCGTGCCTGCTGAAGAAAGCATGCCCTGCCACAGTCGCAGGCTGTCACTCTTCTTGCGTTTCACACGGATGCGGCGGTACTGAACACGTAACGTGAGGGACACCGAGCTGCCGGGGCCGCAGCGAGCCGGGGGCCCGCCCACCGAGGGACAAGGCGACCCCACAAGCTCGAGCGAAGGGTGAGGGCATGGAGGCGGAGGACTCAACTTACAGAGGTGAAGTCTGCAAACCCCGAGGAAGAGGCCTTGGAGGGCTTGGCCGAAGAAGAGGGGACAAACGGATCTTTTCCACTAAACGGGTCCCCAAACCCCTTTTTACTTTGGAACGGGTCGACGCTGTCAGCCCCGAGCGGCTGGAAGGGGTCGGGCGGCTCGGGAAAGTCTGCAGGACCAAGCTGGCTTACGGGCGTGCTTTTACCTGGAAAGTTGAGGAGAGAAAAGGAGAGAGAGAGAAGCAGGAGTTACGCACCACAGGCAGGGCCAGCCCGGACCACCACATGGGGACCCTGTGCCTCTCTGGGAATTCGGCTGACGGGCCAGGCACGCCTGGTGATCTGGGTCTGATTCAGCTCCATCCCTGGGGCTCACCAGGCTGCGAGCGACCCAAGACAGACACCCAGATGCTTCGCGCACACACACGCCAGTGAGCGCAAGGGCTGCATGCAGGCACTTCCATGTGACTCACTTCAGCGAGGCAGCACAGACCGCCACACGAAGTATGAGGCACGGAGAGGTAGAGCAAGACTGCAGGCTCTGCAGCGCCGGTGGAAGTCGGAGTGGCTCGCGGGAAGGAGTCCATCTCGGTGTGTGGGGATCGCATGAGCCTGACATGGGATGAAGGCAGCCTCCCATGCGAGTCATCTGCTGCCCCACACTCATGTCCCTCCTCTGCTCCTCTGGCGTTGGGCAGCTGGACCTTTCTGGCTTCCGGCACATGGGGGACCCCAGGAGGCACAACTTGACTGGGAGCAGAAGGGTTCGGGACTGGAGGGGAAGGGAGCCAGGAGGCCGTGGCGGGAGCTGGCCTGAGTGCAGGGGGCTTTCCCGCACCTTGCCAACGTGTGGGAACGTTCCACCAGGGCCAGAGGCCTGCTGGACGACAGAAGCTCAACGATGGAAGCCCCACCTAGCGAGCTTCCTGGAGTCTGCAGGCCAGCAGGTGGCTCGGTGTCCCTGCCGTCACCGCTCCACCTACCCAGCAGGTGCCCAGGGCGCCCGGGACCACATTCGGCTGGGCCCAACAGCTCCTGGGCCTGACGACACTGAGCACAATCTGGCTGTGAAATGAGCTGCCCACGACGACTCTGGAAGCTTCTAAGCAAATGCTCCCAAGAAACCAGGAACCCCTGCCACTCCACGGCTGCCTGTGGACCCTGGCGCCTAGCTGCGCCCCTGCAGCAGCTAGGCCAGGACACTTGCCGCTCGGCCGGCAGGGCAGGTGCACCCCCGTTGGCCCAGGCCCTCTCCACTCCACACCTGCCAACACCCCCTCTTCCGCAGATGAACGCCCTGGCCACATCTCCACAGGTCCCATGGTGTTGCTGAGGGCTAGGGGCCACAGCCTGTACCCACCGCCTCTACCACTGAGGCCGGGCATGAGCTTCCCCAGAGCCTGGGCCTTGGCTTCCTCATCTGTGAAGTGGGGATGAAGCGGAGAGGGTCGCACGAGACACTCTTGGGGCAGCAGGGGCCCCCCAGCGCACACAGCAGGCACTCAGTTGGGAGCCAGGCCTGCAGCCCTCTTCGGAAAACGGCTTACTTGCCACATGGCCTGGCAGTCCTGGGCTGCGCGGAGCCCACGTGCGTCCCAGCTTCAGGCCAGCCTGGACGCAGCGCCACGGAAGAGTGTGTTGCGGGCAACACAGGGCCACAACCCACTGCTGCACTGGGAGCGTGGTCCTCGGGGCACCATGCCTGTGGACCTCACCGGTAGAATCTGGACATCCGGGGCCACTGTGTGTGCACCAAGAAATCCTAGGACCAGAGGCCCTGCCCACACCAGAACGCTTTCTCTCGGCATGCTCAGGAAACAGCCTTCCTTCCCACGGCTCGCTCAGAAGGATGCAGAGACACTCGGGGGCTGCCCAGCCTTTCAGCCACTAGCCGTGGTGCAAGGCCTCTACCCTTCTCCCCGGGGGGCCAGCCTCCAGCCACAGGCCATGGGAGACCCTCTTAGACTCACTGTCACAAGCAGCACCCTGTGCGAGCGCACCTATAGATGGCTCTGGAAGCAAAGCTGTGGGTTGAGGGCCCGCTGTGGCCTGGCAGTTTGATCGCACTGTCCACCCAACACCATCAGGATCCAAGGAAGAAACAGGAGGGAGTGGCTGGCATCAGTTCTCTCCCCCACCACCTCCAATCGGTTCAGTAGACCACGAGGTCCCTCTGGCCAAGTGGGTGGGCGCGGGGGCTGGGGGGGGCCCACATGGAGAGTCCTTGCCAAAACCCACAGGTGCATCACACTGGAGACCCCCAGAGGCAAGAACTGGGCCTCTCTCACCTCGG